CCAGAGACGCTTTCAAAAGATGCGTGGCCTCGATCTGGTTCTCTGAGCTTGAGCGTTGAGGTAACGAGGTGGGATCTGGGTTGGATGGAGAAACTGAGAATGGCGTTATTGTTGGTAGGCTACCCTAGCAGTGTGTACGAATATTTTACAAATTCGCCTTATTTCGTGCTGCTGAGATGTCTGCTGTCGCTTGAATTTCGTGTGGACTCTAACCTTCAACAAGGAACCTGGAGTCCTGCTTGTTACTATGCTTGTTACCTGCTTGGCATTCGATTGATCATGAGGAATACGAAAAATGAATAAACACCCTTGACAGGGTACGACTTCCCTCTAGCCGACTTGAACGACTGACCTCGTCATATGCAGAATGCATACTAGTGACGCGCTCTACCACTGAGCTAAGAGGGACGTTATAGCAAGTAGATGTATTTACTCCTCTACTGCAGGGGACATAACTAAAAGAGTGGAGACGAAACGAGGAAAAACTAAATTATGTTTGGGAGACCGTGATGAATACTATCGATGCAATGAAGCAGCGTTCTCTCTGTGTAGTCTACATATGAGCCAAAGAATTGACAGAATTATTATAGTCAACCCTATCCACGGAGGGATTTGCCCACTCCACCACCAATGATTTTCGATCCAGCACCAGTAAAATGTGTTATAGCAACGGTTGACCGATCTTTAGGGCGACGATAGCCATTCCCCTGATCGGTTTATTTGTATTTCTGCCAATAATAGCTTATAAATACAGGGAGTGGAGGGCGGGTTATGCGAATAATATCAATCTAAGTCTCTGATCTTGAGAGAATCTTAGTGGAAGTAAGTTTAAGATATGCATTTTGCTCACCTGGAGAGAATCTTAGTGGAAGTAAGTCTGAGAGAGACATACGACACCATTTCTGTCTCTCCAGGTTCGCCACACGTGACATCAGTGACTTAGATCTTTCATTGGGTCTCGTAAAAACATTCTGTTTTAACACCATCAATCTGGTTCTTTCTTGTCTCCCATTTTGTAAGCCTGGTGTGGCTTACAGCAGAACTCATACTCCTACATATATAGCATGCAGCGGCTGAACAGGTATCTGTTCAGTTGTCTCGCCTTTTGGCTGTATAGGTTCTCATGTGCGTGCTTGGGACCACGCTTACACATTTCAGTAGACAAAATTAATTATGCAGGAGGGATATTCCCTCTAGCCGACTTGAACGACTGACCTCGTCATATACAGGGTATACTA